ATGTTATGAATTTTGGATATATGTAATTGATTTTAGTAAAACTATATGTGAAATGGTAATATCTTTTCTATAATGTGACATGAAATACTTGAAAAAGTGAAGCTCTTACAAAATGAGGTTGCAAGGGTAAGTCTGTTTACCATTAAGGTAGATAATGGCTACCTCAACTAAATTAGTGAAATATTGGCAAGCAGGCAATGGTTTTAGTGACTATTTTTTGTCACCAAATTTGAAGAGATATCACTGAAAGTTACAAAACTTAAAGATCATTAACAACATTTAGATCCAGTCCCTTTTTAACTGCAATTGATCAATATATTTAACTGTAATGGAATCCTGCCCTTATATGTAACTGTAACTATATATGCCTTCCAGTAATTTAAAGAAAAGGAAAGTACTGAAAATTTCCCTGTGGCCAAGGGAGGAACTATATAAGACCACAGAAACCATCAGTGCTCAGATTTTAGTTCAGAGTTAGATCTCCAAATGAACTATGCTGTTTATATGTGCTTTGCATTACATTCTGTTTAACGTTCTCGGTTGTTTGAAGTGGTAACTACTGACAGTGCTCAGTCATACTCAGAACAGCTGTACCAGTAAGAAAATAAATTTTATCATGCTATCGTTGGTTCTTTGTGCATTCAATCCATTATAAACCTGTACACACGTAACAATATTAAAAGTAAGGTTTTACCTTTGAACCTTACTGAATGTGAAGCACACATTTCTGTTATCACTGCCAATTCATATGCAATAAAAATGAACAACAATTAGTACAGCAGGTATTCAATAAGTAAGATAACAAGCGCTTTGCTAAGACTGTTAATAACTCTATGGCTCATAGTAAGGATGGGACTCTCTATCATGCAAATGACTTCTGATGAACTTTGATGTAGTTTAACCCATTAGCCGCTGGTGTTGCATTGACGCAATGGTCAAAACAAATGCGTATATAAATATAAACTATCTAAGATATTTTGTACCAGCAGATGATTTTGTGTAGGGAATAATATGAAGATTATTTCTTTAAAAAAATATTTGCCTTCAACAATCATTTTTTATAATAATTAATCTCATACTTTAACCAAAATTTTCGATCGGGTATTTTTTCCGAAAATATTTAACAATAACTATTTTTAGTCAAGGTTACCGTTTATCAGAACATTACATCAATCAGATGTTTATATTTGTGTTGGGAAGGAAATGAAAACAGGTATTGCGCTGGCGCAACTCAGCAAGAAACAGGTAAGCTCCTTTTTTACTCATTCCTTTCGATGTTTTTGTTCATCTTCTGGCTGCTTTAAAAATGCCTATAACGAGGTATCTTACATTAGAAGCCATTCAAAGAGTTTTTTGATGAAGAAGCAGATGATGATAATGTTAATAATGACAACAATGAAATTGATGTTGTTGTTCCCCCAGAAATTTCAGAAGCTATTGATGAAGAAGGGGATGACAAAGTTTTAAATAATGATAATGATATTTTACCAAATGATATTGCTGGGAAAGTTGAAATTCACATAAGAAGTAAGTTTCAGCCTTCTAAAAGCAGTGGTAGTCATAAGAAAATCTTTAAAAACAGAAAACTGAAAATGGATAAAAAAGGAACCGTCAGAGATAGAAGAGAAACTATAAAAGACAAAATACAAGGTAAAACTACTGGAGAGATTTTTGATTTTCTTTTTGGTATAGACATTTATTCTCTTCTCATTGAACGGACAAGTATATATGCTCAGCAAAAAAAATCTCCCAGAATTTATTGCATCTGAAGCCTATATGGAAAGATTTATTGGAATATTATTGCTTACGGGATATCATTCTTTACCTCAAGAAAAAATGTATTGGTCACTTGATAAGGACATTTCTGTTCCTATTGTACCAAAATCGATATCACGTTTGCAGTACAGGAATATCAAGCAGAATTTGCATTTAGCTGACAATAGTCAAATTGACAATACTGATAAATTATATAAGGTAAGACTATATTTAAACTTACTAACTATCACGACTTTCTACTACTGGAAACAGAAAGTGTCTTTTAGATTTCAGATGCGAGATTGCATTATTCCTTTTGCAAACTCCTATTGAGAGTTTAGAATTAGCCAGAAATAGATCAGCAACAGGAAGACCTAGTAAATTCAGCATTCAAAAACCATTGCATGGAGATGATAGACTTTTTATCGTTAAGTCCGATGATAACAAAAGACTTCGTTGTAAAGAGTGCCACAGCCAGACTGTTTATAGATGGAAGTATATAATGAAGCTTTACATCATGAATGTAGCGGAGCTTTTCATGCTTGAATCTTTCAAATGAAATAATCTGTATTTGTCAGAGAAATATAATGTATAATTTAATATTAAATACAAGTAAAGTGATTTATAGATTTATAAAACGTTATACAGCTAAAAAGTAATCCAGTTTTCCACTCAAAGGAAACATTGCACACGAGTACAATCCTAGTCACTAAATATCTGTAGTCATATTCCGCTGACGTTGCGGGAACGCAACACTCGCTTTTTCCACAGATAAGAGCATTTTTTTATTTTCAATGTAAATTTATATTATAAATGCTTAATTTAATATTTGTTATTATTTTCATGAGAAAAGAATCATTCCTTGTAGTTTTGGTAGTTAATGGGTTAAAGAGATACGCATTTCATGAAACAAGTGTGCATCATGTGATACCTGAGATGAAGCAAACTTCTTTACCGCAGAAATATCAGATAATTGTTTTCTGCAGTGGCCTTGGCAAAAATTTTGATTTGGTGTGTTTTTGCATTGGTGAGAAACAAATATTTATCCATCTGCATATGTGTTTGTTATACTGTCGCTTTTAAAATATTACAGTTTTTGTGTGAGCTTGCTGTTTATGTTTCTTTATCTAATGAAAATTTTTACTTTTAAAATGTAAGTTTTTCATGGCAGATAATTAACTATGTTCACTATTTTCAATACAATAGTTTCAATACAATACAAATACTATTTTCAATACAATCACTATTTTCAATACAATACAATTTCAATACATCAATTCAAATAGAAGCCACAGTTTTTCCCATGAAAAATGCATTTTACTGAGCGAGAATATTTGTCAAAATGGGCATAATATGCAATTATATATTGGAAAAGAAACTATTTGGCGATGCAATGTTCTGTCACCAAGTTGGCCAAGATAACCTATCAGATATTAGCAGTAATTACTTAACTATGGCCACCAGAAAGCACTTGTAAACAATGAGTTTTCTGGTATCTTTATGTATGTTATCTTTTAAATAGATTGTTAAAGTAATAAAATGTTATAATTTATTTAATACAATATAAATTACAACATTATTAAATACTACAATAAATATAAATTTATAATGAATTATTCCTATGTTTACATATTAAGTAACTTATACTATGTGAATACTGAAGAAATTATCATTTACCGTAGTCAATTTCTTTTTTTGTGTATGCTTATAACATTTGCAACAAATTGCACTTTCTTAACCTTGAACTGTATCAATGCTGTTCGCCACGGTCACTACAGAAAAACAAGTACCAATACCCATCATCCCCTTCTTACAAATTAGCTCTATCCACAAACAGAGTAATTGCCACTGACTTCTTCAATGTTAACATTGAAGCTTTGGCCTATTTTCAAAACAAATGGTTAGAAAAGCATGATGACTGTTGACAAATAATGTTTACCAATGACTTACTACCGTACATACGTACGTCTGCCAGTGGAATAAAATTTATCTCTCAGAAGACTAGACCTTTTACTTTTAGTTTTTGAATTTCTTCAATTATAAAATCCTTGGACATCTTAATCGCCACCAAAGGAGTTCAGAATATTCCCAACATTCCAAAACATGCTGTCATTTTATTATATTTTTTCTCACAGTTTCAATGAATCTGTAGTAGCAGAAGCATTAAACTACTCTAAAAATATCAGATGTTTAATTATTATTAATCTCATTTAAGCATTACTTATACACTTTCCAGATAAATATAAATTATTTATTAATATAACATATCTCGATGGAAAAACCAAATGGCAACAATGTACTTATATATCTGGTTTAGCAACAAAAAGCTGTTATGGAGTAATTTTCAGTGGCGAGGCATTAGCTCATCACTGCTCAAAATGAAAGTAAAAGTGTTTTCTCTTAATGATTATTGTATTTCTCCCCCCTTTTTCAAAATTAATTTTATCGTCAGAAAATCAAGAAAGGAAAATTACATATATCACTTGATTTCCGAAGCACACGCTTACAGTAAGAATACAGCAAATGAAAAGCAGTCACAGATAAATTACAAGTAACTATTCCAATATTATTTCTTTAAAAACACCTATATTCAATAACAAAACATAGTAAAATTCACATTACAATATCTAATGAGATGTTTTCATTTCTACTTTCCAGAATCTTCCTATTCTTATTGTCTTTGCTCTTCTTCAGGCCCCAAATTAATAATTAGAGAAGGTGAATGGGCAGCCTATTCAGTAACATCATGGATTGAATGTCAGTTCATTTGCTTCGCTGTGACGAATTGGTTCTTGTATTAGGCTGGCATGATATTCAATACTTAAGAAAGGAAAATTTCGATGTGACTTTTTCAGATACTTTGTGAGGGTTTGTCTTTATAAGTAAGACAAAAAAAAAAAAAAAAACTACATGGACAACTTGATTTTAAAATTTAGAACAGCTCATTCTCTTAATGTACTGAGGAAAGAGAAAACTACACATATATTTAAAAAATTTCAGAGTCCTTGGTGTTAAAGAACTTGGGAGTTGGGAAGGAACATATAAGGAAATACAGTGATATGTTGTTAAAAAAAAAAAGGGTTACTTACATCGCAACAATTCAACTTGACAGTACGGTTCTTAAAATTTCAGTTAAAGAACTTAGTAAATATGGTCCACATTTTACAGAGAAAAGCAAAACATGAATAATTCCATTTTTTTTTTTTAAATTTCTATTTAAAAAATGTGAAATAAAAGGAATTTACTTACTGATAATCTTCATTTACTCTGCTAATCTTCCACACACTATTCAGATCAAAACCCATTCTCTCAGCCTCGGCTGTAATATCCGCAAATGCCGCTTCTTTCAAATCATGAGTGGCTAAACATTTCACAAACAATTTCAGCTAAATTACACTGCTAATTAATTTTACAACTGATTAAAAATGCAACAAATTTTAGACTTATACATTATCATAACCACCTTAGTAGAAGTTGGCAAATTTGCAGAATACACTAAACTTTGGCAACTATGTGCATAACCATTCTTCTAAGAAATCATGCTCTTAACAATCCTTCAGTCACATAACACTGCCATTTTCATATGGGTACTTTTTGTTGTAGTCAAAGTTCCAACATTTTTATTACCAAAATTAATAATCTAATATTGTGGATAGAGCTGATTTGTAAGATTAGATTTGGTAATAGAAAATGTTGATCAATATATTTAATTTTAAAACCAACTTGTGGAATATGCCAACAACAGGAAAAACCTGCAGTACAATTCCTGCAAAAATACAAAAATTCAGGGTAAAATCCCCCCCCCCAAAAAAAAGGAGGAGAGAGAGAGAAAAGAAGATGCATTTGGTGCTGATGAAGCTTGTGGAATGGTAAATCTGATGTTTTTGAAAGTGAAAACAGATCGATGTTAGAAAGATTTGGAGACTATTAATATCTTTTTAATGCATCATGTAATCCTCATTTAATAATTTAAATTTGTATTTTAATTTGGTATATTTCCATATGTTGATAACGTTTGCCAATTTATGATAAATATCAATAGTTTGGGGAAAAAACTCACAAAAACAAATACCTGAAAGCTTTCAGATTTTACATTACGCCCCAAGGTGTTTTTTTTTTTTTTTTTTCCTTTTGTGTGCTACCTTTATTTATTAAATGTTATGTTCTTAGCACTTAAACCATAAAATTCAATTCAACAGCAATATCACAAAATATTTAAAATGAGCATATCCTTAGAATTTTCGATACACAGTCTTGCACACTGAAGATATATTTTTTTTCCCATACAGCGTCGCCATTGCTCGCTTTCAAATTGTTGAGTTTGTTAATCAAAATTCATTAAAGTTTTACAAAATATGAAATAGATAATAAAGTAATTTCCAAATTTGTGCTTCTAGATGCCCATAATCGGGTGGAAAATGCACATTATTCAAAATTTGATGGCTCTAGGTACTGTTGTTTTATAACAATGCAAGAAACATATATACATTTATGCAGATTATTCATTATTTAATTTCTCTGAATATAACACAGGGCTCTAATATTTTGTGGCAACAATTTAAAAAGTGAATCAACGCCAAAACAAAATTTATAGTCCTTCCAGGCAAAAAACATCCACAAACATGCTATCCATAAATAACTTTTACCCCCTTCATGTGAAAAAAAAAAAAAAAAAAGGCCGAATTGTACCAAGATGGTTATGCCAACACAAGTACCCATTTTTTTCCTCACATGATGAATATTTCAATTTACAAAGTTAGAAAGGAATACAACAGAACTCCAATTACCTAAAATTACTAATAAACAGATCACTTTTTACTTTTAAATAAACTATATTTCAATAAAATCACAAATTCATTACAAATTATTAAATGTGAAAATTTTAATAATATGTATTGTTATTTAATATAAATAAAAAATTTAATTGTCTTATTTTTAACATAAATATTTTGCACACACATAAATGAAAAAATTATTTTGACATTTAAAAAAAAAATGCTTTATATTGTTTTATGATCATTTTTTAACCAGAGAGAATCAAAGATATAATTTTAACTTCTCTCAAATCCCAAAAACCTTCGATTCCAAAAATTCTAGATCCTATTAAAAAAGCTTTGAATTTCAGTAAAGTTTCAGGTACAGAAAATTATTAAGCATCTCACTGCCCATAATGCAAAATTTAACAGTAAACCTTTGAACCCTGATCTAAACATGAGAAAAAAAAAAAGCTACACAGCGCAGAATTCATTCTAACGCATACATTATACATATACAGTCAAAAGTCTTTAATCCGGACGTCCATAATCCGGAATGATCTATAATCTGGACCTCAAAGCTACAAACTTTCTGTGCATGCGTGAACGTGTAATGCGTTTACGCATGCGCGTTTAATGTATAACGGACGGTATAAGCTAAGCTAAAATTTATTAATAATATCTAATTATCTATTTCAGTTAATGTTGCAGATTGCATTATTCCTTAATCTTCGAATTGGATCCGGCTTATTATTTTTTGCAGACTGTTAGAGCAATTTTATAAAAGTAAGGTTGAATTTTTGATTATGTCATCTACAAAGCGAAAGCATGTTTCGATGTCCATTAAACAAAAAATTGGAAATGCTGTAAAAAATGGATAAAGGCATGAAGAAAGTGACAGAAAGGAGATTTGTTTCTCTAACTATTCCGAAATCTGTTTATCAATTTAACGCTGCTCTGGGGGGGGGGACGGCGCGACACGCAATAAACTGGAAGTTGATCTGTCAGCACTATCCTCATCTTCAGGGCAGATGTTTTTATTTTATTCGGCTTATAATTCCTTACTAAATGTAGTGTTTCATCTCAATGTACTCTGATATAACTTAAATCAATTTCCTCGTCATTATAAATATCACGAATACGCATAAAATAGTTTTCTGGTTGCAAATTTCTAATCTCGACTATGCGTAATGTATGCTTTGCACATGCGCGTGTTGAAAGAAATGTTTAATAAAGTAAACAAATAAATATTAAGCTTTTTTTTGTAAATTTTGATACCCTTTAGATCATAATTGCTCTTTATTTCATATATTACGATTTCATATTTTTAATTGTATAATTTCTGCATGCCATCTTACCAGATTTAAACTGATGATCTATAATCGAGATTAGCCGAAGTCCTGACGTGTCCAGATTAAAGACTTTTGACTGTACTTTCAAAGGTGGACAAAAGTCAGTCAGATAGTTGCCATAGGCAAAAACTCTTATATTGATGTGTCACTAAGCTCTTAAATAAAGGCTCACATAATTTGACCCTTCACCTTTGAACCTCTCAAAAATAAAAACTGCAATTAAATCTTCCCAAATATTTCTGACCCATCTAAAAAAATTGCTTATCCCATCTGCTGCAAATTGTGTCAGATTATATGCTCTATCCACAATTCATAACAGTAGTATTACATTCCATCCTACAGCATTAAATTCAGGCACAGCTTCGTACCCCTCAGCTTTGTATTTAGTTTCTAGATTTTCAATTTTGTCAGTTAATGGCATACAGGGTTCATAGCCACATTTTAGTTTAAAAAATAAGCACTTTTCAAGCAAATTTTAAGAAAAAAAATAACCACCTGTCTAATTACATTATACACAACTGCATAACCTTAAAAATTAGACTCGTAATTTAAAATATGAGAAATGCAGTATTATCTCAAGCATGGAAAATAATTACTTTTTTTTTTTTTTTTTTTTTTAATTTTAAATAACAGTTCAATTTACAGAACTAGTTTGCAATGAGAGAAAAAAAAATATGCAGAACTAAACTATATTACAAGATTTAATGATGAAATTTCAGTTCAAAATAAGAGGAAATAAATAATAATAAGGCATATTTATTCTATTCGCTTGGAACTTAATAATAAATACAATTTAGTTTCCCACTCATATTGATATTTAACTAATTTAAATCTAAATTCTGAACATTTTCTAAATTTTCATCGTATATCAGTTTTCCTTTAACAGATATTGCAAGCAAAGTAATTTAAGTAAAAAAGAGGAACATTTCTGAAATCAGAAGACAGAAATTTGCTTCATGCAGTCATTTTTTAACAGTAAAAGCTTAACTACCCGCATACTTGAAAATTCGCGAATATTCGGACAGTCCAGTGTAACTTAAAAAAGAGGAGCGGAGGGGGGGGGGATAGACTGTTGCCATTCTTTAGATTTTTCTGCTTAATAAATGCTTTTGACATTTCGATATGTGCATCATATAAAAACAAACCAACGGAACAGAAAAATATTCTGCTTTGCAAGCACAGTAAAACTCTTTTAAGTGTTCATAAATAAATCTCGGACCGAACACCAAAATTAATTATCTCTGCAAAATATCGCAAACGTTATTGCGCAATATGTGCGTACGCAGTAATTCTTCCCTACATGATATTACGCAATCAAATTCAACAGCTGCCGGTTTTGGGAGAATAAAGAACTAAATAAAGGAAAAGAGACTTACCAATCTGGGGTGTTTTTCATTCTAATTTTCAACAGACTGAGTTAAATTTCCGGAATAGAATCATTCTTCGCTTGGGTTGGTAGACCACAAAACTTTTAGTCCTATTCAATCCAGATTGGAAAGTGACAAAAAAAAAAAAAAAAAAAAAAAAAAAAAGCAGCGAACTGTAACAGTTTCAATATTTGAGGTTTTGCAGAGAAAGGGGAAAACCTCCCATCTTCGTACTGTATAATGCACTTCGTAGTGTATAATGTACTGGCCAAAAAAATGAAATTATTTTGACTATTTGATTACTTTCCCTTTATTTAAGCCATTCCAAATATTATTCCTTAGAAAGCTAATCTGTGTTAAAACATAACTATTTTTGGAAGTTTACTATACTTCAGCAGTTACTGCAACTATGTTATAAACATTCATACATATACTCATAATATAAGCATAATGATCATAATAAACACGAATATGAACTGACCACGCGGAACGAGAATGCAAATTATTAAAATCTTGATAGAAATTCAAACGTGTGTAGTATTTGGTGGAAAGAAAAGAATATCGAATGTACCGGAATTTTCTACCGTTTTCGCAATTCTTTGGCCAATAGAACAACATGCACCTGTCTGTACTCTCGCGCGCACCAAAGGTTATGTTAATGCAGAGAAAGGGGGAAAAGCTATTTCCGGGAGTATGATTCACCATCTGACATTCCATATTAGGAAGAAAAGTTGTTTATTTAGTTTCGGCTTTGATACGGGGAAAAATTGCGCGTTCATTTAAAAAAAAAAGCACTAAAAGCAAAAAAAAAAAAAAAAAGGCTTTAAAGAAAAAGTAAGCACCTATAAGGGCCTTTATATTTTATTTTCAAATATAAGGACTTATAAGGACCACTACGAACCCCGGCATAATAAAAAGTTCAATAGAAAAAAAGTATTGCCCCTGGAAATTTCACCATAGTTTCTTTTGATGCAAAATCATTATTAATAAATGTTCCAATAGAAGGTTTCTCTTAAATGCTTAGAAACAAGACTTTGAGAATTTCCGTTCTCTTGCACAGAAATTGAACAAACACCATTTTGTTTTCTAATACAATAAGAATTACAGGGAAACTGGGGAATTAACCATGGGAACCCTATTAGTCCCATTATTAATAAATGTTCCAATAGAAGGTTTCTCTTAAATGCTTAGAAACAAGACTTTGAGAATTTCCGTTCTCTTGCACAGAAATTGAACAAACACCATTTTGTTTTCTAATACAATAAGAATTACAGGGAAACTGGGGAATTAACCATGGGAACCCTATTAGTCCCATTATTAATAAATGTTCCAATAGAAGGTTTCTCTTAAATGCTTAGAAACAAGACTTTGAGAATTTCTGTTCTCTTGCACAGAAATTGAACAAACACCATTTTGTTTTCTAATACAATAAGAATTACGGGGAAACTGGGGAATTAACCATGGGAACCCTATTAGTCCCATCCTTGCTATTATATACATGCATTATTATGAATCAAAATTATTCGAATCTTTAAACTTGCCTGTATGGTTCTGTTACGCAGACAATAATTTTACCCTGTTTAATGGTAATAAAGCTCTTTCAATAATGAATTCTGCTGTTCAGTTCACTTTTTAGCTAAAAATATCTAATTCTCTTCCATTCTTTGACATCTTGGTCACATGCAACATATTCAACTTCAGCATTACGGTTTACAGTAAAGCTTCTTTGTTTGCCATCCACCACACTTCAATTCATGTCAGACTAAACGGAAGTTAAAATCAGGTCAGACTAAACGGAAGTTAAAATCATGTGAGACTAAACAGAAGTTAATTTCATTTTATTCCTTTGTTTTCTAAGCACTTCAAGTTTGCTCCTCCAAATCAGCTCTCAATCAAGAACTAAATTACTTAAAAGCATTGCTATTGATAGAGACTTATCACCTAACATTATTGATCAAGCCATTAAAAAATTCTCATTAACATAACAAAAAGCAGCTTCTTGTTTTAGATTGTAAGAATTCTGTTGTTATTCCTTTTTCCACTGATTCTATAAACTGCAAGCATTTTACAGAAATTCAACTTTCAAGTCATTTTATCTTCCATCAATAAAATTCGCATTTCCATACTTAAGGACCTCAGTCCAAATATGAAATTCTGAAGTATAACACAGAATTCCTCCCCAGTGTGGTTTAATTTACATTGATTAAAGTAAGACAGCCCTAAAACTGTGCACTAAGGAACATGAGACACATTTAAGGAAAAACAAAACACATTAATCCTCTGTTGCTTAATCCTGTTGGTTAGAAATTCATATTGTTGCGTATTTTTCTTTTCACGTACATACAGGTTCGTAGATTTGGAGTGAATAACGACAACACTCGATGAAGTATTAAAGCACACTTTACTGGCCACATTATTCAAGACAGCTCCATAATCTCATTTAAAGTCGTCGAAGAACCAGTGACACAGCCTTCGCACTACCAGGCTGTAATGGTGAAGACAGCTTCAGGACAAAGCACCAGAGTACAGCTCCCGACTCGGTTCAGCCGTTCTCAGAACTTCATGTACTCTCAATACTCTCCGCTATCAGGTTATAATGGTGAAGACAGCTTAACGGCAAAGCACCAGAATACAGCTCCTGACTCTGCTCGGTCATTCTCCAAACTCTACATACTCTCGAGACTCTCCCCGCTATAACTCGTGATGCACTCAACGACACACTAGAGTACAACTCCAAACTTGGTTCGGTCGTTCCCGGAGCTCAACACACTCTAAGAGAAAACTCAACGATGCACTAACTCACGATATACTAAGAGATTCTATCAATGCACTTGACCACTAGGCACTCACTGACTGACTATCAAATTGATCAATGCCACACTAACTGACTCTCTGCATACCAGCAGGGTTTATATAACTTTTGGCTTGTGTTCGAGAACATTTCTGGGCTTACATAATTACTTACATAATTAACTACATAACTAAACTTACATAATTAGGGCTTGCATTACATAACTAAACTTAACATTACATAACTAAACTTACATAATTAGGGCTTGCATGACTCTCTGCATACCAGCAGGGTTTATATAGCTTTTGGCTTGTGTTCGAGAACATTCTGGGCTTAAACCAGTAAGAATTCATTCCAGAAGGTTCTCTACCCGTCTAGGGGACAAATGGACGATTTCTCACCAAATGTGGCAACCTTAAACCTGCCTTGCGGGGAAGCTATATTACCGCAGCTAGACATTTCATAACAATATTTTCTATTGTACTGCAGACAAAATTATTCTAAAAAACATCTTCTGCTGGCAAACTAGATTTTCTATTGGTATATCTCGTTCATAAGAAATCTTTTACTTCAAGTAAACAATCCTTATTCAAGTCTGTCTTTATACCCTTAAATTTTAAAGAAATTCTTTCATAGCTGTTTTCATTTTTCATCAATACAGGGCACCAGTAACTTGACTTCCTTTCATTCTTACCGTATCTCATCACTGGGTTCTCTTCCGTCATTTGCACATCTGTAACTGAAGAAGGTTCTATATTTAAACCTTCAAAACTAGTCCTGCAAATTATGAATATTATACTGAGTTTTACTGCTTTAACTCCTCCAATAATCAATAACTAGTTACTGAAGTCAACAAACTTACATAATTAGGGCTTGCATGAACTGTTATGAATTATAATTTGTAAGATATTAATTTAGTACTAAATCAAAAGACTTTTAATGTTTAGAGTTAAAACACAATACATATTTAAAGCTTTATAAATACTTTAAGACACAAACAGATCTGCACATATTAACAAAAAACAAAATCAAGCAACTTACAAAATTTTGATGCAATGCCTTCTTTTTGTTCTTCCCCTGTCCATGCAAAAGATCGAAACCCAAACTGGTCATCCACTTTGTCAGGAACCTTTATACCATTTTGAATTCTCTTGAACCATTTCTGTGTTTCATCATTATTATCAAAAATACACCTAAAAGAAATTAATTTAAAAATTTCAAATCAGACAGAATCTTAAAAAAAAGGGGGGTACAAATAGAAATGCTACTTGAATAGTTTTTACTTTAAAATGCTATTTCATCCTTAGATCTCAGAATACCTGTCCTGATTTTTTTATTGTCCTTCTGATTATTCTAACCCCTACTGAAAACTGACAATAAGATGCCGATGCAATGCACCATGCCACCAAAAAGTATTTATGTGGCAATGTAGGCACACATAGCAATCTCTCCCGGGCGACTTGCCACTTCTCTGGACATCTGGCCAGTATGACCTTAACCGGAACATAAGAATATAATTCAATCACTTTTAAAGTAAAAAATGCACAATTTACCAACATATAAGAATAAAAAAACTGAGCTCACTGAGCCAGGTGATATATAATACTCATGCTAAAGCCATAAAGTATTTATTTCTTGCTTTCACTAACAAAACTACAAGGTGAAACTGAAAAGGTAACTGATGCCATAACTGTATTACATATTTACATCATAATAAATATTTACATATAAATACATCACTGTACTTCAAAGTAGCTCCGCCGTCTACAATTCATTTCTGACAACATTCATACAAATTCTGGAAACTTTTGAATATTTTGGAAACTTTTGAAGTCCTCCTTTGAGACTGTGTTAATTTTTTTAACAGCAGCTTAAACGACTGACATGCTTGAAAATCGGTGTCCCTTTAGTGACAATTTCAGTCATGGAAAGAGGAAAAAGTCTGCTAGCACAAGATCAGCACAAATTACTGAAAATAAGTTGTAGTGAAATCGGCATCCTACCATTTGCTTTTGACTAAGAGCGATATAAATGCATTCTATACATAAAATAAAAATTTCTGGTACTTGTCTATTAATTACATGTAAATAATTTACATGCTCACATCTGCCAATACTGGCAGTCAGCAACCACTGAAAGCATATGCAGCATGAAAAACAACTTGAAATGTCAAATTACACTGGCAGGCTGAAGTCATTACACTCCAATTGCTCAGTTCAATTTAATCAGGGAAGCAGACGAAAACTTGCATACTAAGTCAGCAGCACTTCTTGCAAGAAATGGATATTTAACGGAGCCAAAAGACTAATATGTGATTTTTTCTGAAGTACCTGATCATTTAAATAGAAGATCCATAACATTTTAAAAGCAGAATGAGTTGGTTCTGAGACACTTTACAGTACATCATAAACACAGATTTATAAATTCAGAAAACAGCTGCTGATCATATGGTATCTTACTTTTTTGCTCAGTTTAACATGTCCACAATATTTATTTCACATATCCCCTCCCCAAGCAACCAAAAAATATTTTGCAGCAGGCTAATGAAAATGTACTAAAATTCTAAGCTAAAAATTATTTTGTGACAGCCTTTCAGTGTTTAAAAATTTTATGCAAATAACTGCGATATTTTTAACACAAATTGGTACTTGCATATTTTCCCATGTATCATTTTTGGCCATCAAAAACTGTCACCAAACAAAGCAATTTAGTGCCAGTAACTGATAAATTTTAGTCAAAAGCACCTATAAGATCTTTTATAATACAGCAATCCTCAGTAAGTTTAGTTTCTGTAAATAATGATATAAATTGCTTTTACAGGCTGGGGTTCTGTATTTCTCTTGAGTTTGCGGAAATAGGAAAAAAAGATTAAAATTTTGGACTGCTTCCTATAGGACAGCAAGCAGTGGTATATTTTCAATATTCTGGGAGTGGTTATCCTGGTACACATACTTGATATACAGATACATTGAAAGATTGTGAAGTTTGGCAAAACAGTGCTGTAAAAAACATCGTGCAACCATGCATCAATCCGGATCAGGAATTCCCAACCGGGTCAGTACTAACCCCCTAAAGGTTTGGTTTACTTAATTATGGCAAAGCATTAGTGGGCCATCTGTCTAAGGGAAGGGATGTCTTCGTGGAGGACTTTCAAAACGAAACTGCTTGTATACACGTGGGGAAAACCATGAACTGCCCACGCAAGCAGCCAGTTTGCTGGAATTTGAACCCTGGACCAAACTAATAGTATTGAGAGACTTTACTGCTTGGCCGGTTGGCCTGACCCTCCTGGAGGTCCATGAAATATTAGTCTTCAGCACACGTGCATCACTGGGCTATGTAAGTACACTGCTCAAAAAAAAAAAAAAAAAAAAATGGGACAGTGCTATATCTCCCGTTCTACTGGGCCGATTGACAAAATTCAACCTGCGTTTTTCATGTCTCGAAAGCGCGACTTAGGATATATATTAGATTTATATATAGCACTATTCTAACATAGGTATTTTGACACAAAATCGGACTTTTTCTGAAATAACATACCAATTTTTTTACATATTTCGATTCTACAACTCAAATTACGCCTAAATATGAAATTTTGTAAAATTTGGAGCGAAATTTATGGAGAAATTCACAAATTTATGTTGGCACTTTTTGTTCAGTTTGCACCAAGAATAGTTCACTTGGCGAACGTCTTAATATATGGCAACCTTGTTTCCTTTCCCGTGAGAGGAAAAAAAGTCACCATCATTCTTTTTTCCATATAATATTCTTTAAATATTTTTTATTATAACTGTTATTATTTTAAATAATTTTTTCTTTTTCGAATTTCATTTTAATTCTTTAAGTTACATGTTTTTCTTCGAATAACTGTTTTAAAAATTTCTATTTACTTATTCAAACTGCGTCAATAAAGGTGCAGCGTTTATTTATTTTTTTTTCAAATAGTTTTCTTTATATATATTTATTTGTCATAGTTATTATTTTAGGAAATTTTTAAATTTTTATATTTTTTTTTAATTGTTTGTGTTGCATTGTCTCTTCAGATAATTGTTTTAAAATTTTCTATTTATTCCTTCAAACTGAGCATTTTAAATATATTTATTAATATAAATTTTCCAGAATTTGATTTTATTTATTTGAATTGCGTTTTCTTGCGAAGAATATTTTGTAACCCAGACTATGATGCACTTGAAAACTGCATATATTAAAAGAGAAATTACAGTAAAGCACAGTTAACACGCCTTTCAATGTTCCGTTCAGAAAAGAAAATATATAAATAAGAGAGATGTATAACGGACATTTTAACATAGGATGACTTGTATACACTGCTTTAAACAGTTTAATCATTGTGCTCATTGCTTTACAGAGTTTTATCCTACATTTGGTTTCTTAAAATGTTATTCATATTTTAGTCAAATATTTTATTTTTGAAATCGCAAGAATCAAATATCAAAAGATTAAAAAGTTTTAAATTAAAAAAAAAAAAAAGTAGAAATGTTAAATTTTACACAAAAATTTATTTTTTCTTTACTTTTCCTTCAGGCATTCTACTTTATTCTTGCACTTTTTCTTTAGGCATTCTGCAAGTATATTAAAAAGCATCCAACTTTTCGAAATATCTTGGTATTTCTGACAATCATTTTAAATAAAGTTATCGCCTTCCATTTCATAAAGGCCCACAAACGGCCGAGCGGTAGAGAATCGTTGAACACTGGTACTTCACTCCGGGGTTCCAATCCCAGTAAACGGGCTAGTTACATGGGTGTTTTCGTGGATTTTCTCATGTGTACCGTGTATGCTAGCTGGTTTCTCTTAGAAAGTTCATCACAAAGTATTTGGTCAGAGCCCTTATCAGTCTTTAGAGGCTAAACATTTTGAAGGTATGAGATGAAAGGAAAGTCTGGTTTCATCAAGAGGTTTTGGTTTATTTAATTATGCCTAAGGGAAGGGATGCCTTCGTGGAGGACTTTCTAAGGGAAACTGGCTCGCATACACATTACATATGGGGAAAACCACGAAAACGCCCATGCAGACAGACCGTTCGCGGGATTCGAACCTCGGACCGAACTACCAGTGTTCAGCGATTTACCGCTCAGTCGCTGTTTCATCAGGAGGAAAAAAAAACGTCTTTAGGTGACATCCACATACATCACTGGATAAATTCCTGAATCTTCAAATAATTCGACTGAGAAAATCATGGGATTCTCCATTTATGATATGATATGATGTTCTATAACGTAATTTAAATTTATACAACTATATAGTCTACAACCAGTCGCTCTTCACTTTAATCTGTAATGATATCGTTTTTGTCTTTTCTGTTAAAACAAGCTCAATTGATGGTATTTGGTGGTGGTGGTGATGGTGGTGGTGTACACGTCTAAGTGTTTTCTCTTTGAACACCTAAATTCTTTGAAGTATCCTGAAAGTATATTCAAAAGCGTCCAACTTTTTGAAACATTTTGGTATGTCTGACAGCCAAATTTCCCTGCAAATTTTTGCTTACTTTTCTCCCTAATTTTCTTCTTTCCTTCTACAGTTATTTTCAGTGCTCACACAAAAAAATTAAGATTTTTCAATTGCTAGACTTTAATAAATTTTGCATTCTTGTCAATTTTTTTAAAATATCAATTGTATCAACTGTGTTTCAGCTGAAGACAGCTTTTCATTTTCTAGACATTTTAACTATAAACAAAGTATAGAGCAAAGTCCAAAGCATAAATATTTTAATTAAAATATTTTTGTAAATGACAAAGAAATAAAACAGTCCAGCAGGGTTTATTCTGTACCACCGAGTGACCCGATTCTTATATCGGCTGAAACAATCTAAATCATATTAAAGATCATGTTTTTTTATACAATCTATAACGCGAGAGAAAAATTAGCTTCTTAAAACATTCTAAGAGGATTAATATAAAATATTATATTTAAATATATATATTTTTAAAGCTGGGACTTGAACCAAACTGTCAGACTTTTAAAGTTTAATTTACATTGTGGTTATAATTTAAGTTCCAATTTGAAATGGTCATAAAAGGAAAACTACCGGACCATATGTTATCAAACTTGGGAATTGTGTAAGGAAGGTTATGGGAATTTATTTTCCGCGGGAAAAAAAAAGAGTTAAAAAACTCACCACCAGTGGAAAAATGGCGCTGTATACAATATTGGTAAATGAAATAAGACATGAAAA